CAGAGACGGCGTAAACTGGCATATGTGAAACTAGCCCTCTGTATTCGTGCTGAGATTTCGTCGGAGATCGACCCGTTGGGGCTGATGGTACTTCCCAAGTAAGTGAAGCGGTCAACGTGCCCTACCACTTGATTTCTAATCTAAACAGATATATGAGGCAAAAAGAATAGTAATATAGAAGAACAATAGAGTTTTATTGGATATGGCAAATAAATCACTAAGAGTGAATGCACCTACGCCAACCATTGAGAACGATTTTCAGCCGTATCATCAGTTGTTTCCAGCCTTCACTGGTTCGTAGCATCCTGAGAACCCCGACCAGCCAGTCAGGTTGTCTACACCTTCCTACGTATCTGGCTGGCTTAAACTAACTGTTATGGATTTCATGGATTGATGAAGCCATGTTTTGGTTTGACCATCACTAGCTCTTTTCCCATGTCAGCTAACATTGCTCGTTGTCGAGGAAGGCGACGGCTAGTCGTGCGTGCCATAACACATATCCTAACCGTCTCAATCGATATAACTTCACAACCTCGTCGATTGATTTCCCCCTCCTTACCTAGCACTCAACCGAAGCCTAACCTCAATATTCCTCACCCTATTATACCACTTCACGCAGGAGATATAACGCAGGCACCTATGATCAAAGACAGCTAGCCAGGCTTTTCATGTCTTCCACTGGCAAGCAGCGAACATACCAAGAATCTATTTCTCCGCAAATAAGTTGAATTTGAAGTAATTAATTCCCTTTATGAATTCCGACAACACAATAAGAAGACACGTAGTTTATCTGAAACGTGTAATGGATTAGCGAAACACATTTCGGACATTCTGACCACACACACGTACTTGTCATACACAGTTATACAGAAGGCGAAAAGGACCCATCAGTCTCTGCAGATTAGGGCCACAGAGCATACCCCAAAGTGGCTGCAACAACACGCAAAACCGCCGGATACAACTGATCCCAGAAATAGATGTCCAACATCATCTATAGTGAAGCACATTATAGAGACGAGTCATGAGGTTGATTTCAATAATGCCCTTAAACCCATCTCTGCATAAAACAAGGTTGGGTCACATACTTAAATTCATTGAAGCCTTGGCCATAAAAGGCCTAAACCTGTCTTATGCGTCCAAAAATCAATTTTTATTGCTTTGAACCTGACTTGGTAATCCAGTCTAGAACCAATGTCCGACTTACTGAATGATATTTTCTCTCTTCCTTACCGACACCTTTGACTCATTTCCCTACCCATTGTTTGTTACCTTGACCTGCACACAATCTGACCTGTATTGTAATTAATCATGCCTTCTTGCCTTCTATAAAACTGTGTATGACAAGTACGTGTGTGTGATCAGAATGTCCGAAATGTGTTGCGCAAATACATTACACATTTCAGATAAACTACGTGTCTTTTTATTGTGCTGTCGAAACATGCCGTAGGAAATGAAGGTGGATTGGGTACACAATGAAAAGACCGTTGAAGGATTTCACGCGTTAGTCTCTGAAATGGAACCTGAATGGGGAACGACCAGTTGGCCATCTGAGGGTGACGTGGAGGAGATCGTGCAGGGAGATGAAAACTTATTATCAATCGCTGAGCCAGCTAAGAAGGACAGCAGAGAACACGGTAAAATTGGGTGTATTGCTGAAACCCAATGGTTCACTCAGAACCCATGGGAATAATAATGATAATATAATAGTAATGAAAAGTTGTACAAGCTGAATTTTCACACACACACACAGAAATTCATCTACTAATACACATAACTTACACAATTAGTATACCACAAGGAACAATAATTATAATGCGTAGTGTTGTCTCAGGTGTAACTACTGCTGTTAAACCCACGTAGACAAGTGAACCAATTAGACCAGCTGCACCGGTACCCGAAGACCAAGCTGAAACACAAGATCTAAACAGGTTGTGTGTTTTTTTCATATCAAGAATAAAAGAGGGAAAAATTAAATTAAATACTACGCATAAGTAAGACAATAAGACTTTGAAAATTGCATCTAAGACAAACTAACGTAAATTAAAAATAATAGAGATTTGTGGATCAGGTAGATGATTTTGATTTGGTTGTGTTCTCTAAGCTGGTTGGTTTAATTGTGCGGCTTTCCTCGGCCCTCCTTCTAGACAACATCTTCAGAGGAGGTTGTAGTACAAAATCACTTACTCACTTAGATTCTCCATGAATGATATAATTATGTCTCCTGGCAACCATCTTCATGACTGGTTGTTAATTTACGTCTCTATTGATTATTTTCAATGACTTGGAATTCGAACTTTCTTGTCGTGTGATTTACTTTTTATTAGCTGGTAAATTTGGTCTATAATAAAGTGTTTATCATTCGCTGGCTGATTCACTTGAGTACCAAGCAGGCTTCTAGGAATTCCCTGGCATTACTGTCTGATGTTTCCTCTATTTACAATTTCTACATTATCCCAATCATCAAATCGGTGTCCATAATCATCTACATGCATTGATATAAAAGAATATATATCATGTATTTTCACAGTTAATTTGTGTTCCTGGATTCTGATTCAAAGAGGACGCCCACTTTGCTGACCGATATAATGTTTATTACAGTTTATACTGTTTATTTTGTAAAGAAGATTAATTTTATCTTCCTTTCTTGTTGGATCTTTTCGTTTGGTTAATCGAATATAAGAACAGATAATAGGAACACCGACGGCATCATCGCCCATATCAGTCATGAAAAGATTAGAATTAATGGCCCTACCAATCATTAAACCAAAAATCTGAATACGTTATGTTGATGATACTTTTGTAATAATTAAAAGAAATGATTTGGAATATACCCACAAATTCATAAACAACATATTTGAAGACATTCAAAAGGGAAGAAGAATTAGAGGAAGAAATCGCATTCTGAGATGTCTCAGTCAAGAGAACTAATACAGGAAATTTAGAAACACAAAAATATACAGAATATCAACGCACACCGACCAAATACTCAACTATAATAGAAATAACCCGGTTACCCACAAAAGAAACTGTGTGCAGACATAATTTAAAAGAGCTGAAAAGTACTGTAGCACTACTCCGGTGTTGAATGGAGGAAAAATAACTACTCAAGGTCTTCAAAAAGAATGGATATCCCCCTCACAATTTCATCAAAAAGTGTTTAAACTCAAGTTATAACACCAACAAGAAGCCATCATCAAAGACCACAAGAAAATTCATCCTACCATATATAAAAAAAATATCCCTAAAATAACAGTTGGAATATTAAGAGCGTTTGAAATAGATACCACACAAACGCCATCCAGGGCAATTACTTCATTCGATATTGTATAAACCAAAAGATCCAACAGAAAAAGAAGATAAAATTAATACCCTTTACAAAATAAATTGCCTGTATGAACTGTAGTAGACATTATATCGGTCAACAAAGTAGGCATCCCCTTCGAATCAGAATCCAGGAACACAAATCAGCTGTGAAAAGACATGATATCTATATATATTCTTTCATATCAATGCATGTAGATAATTATGGACACCGATTTGATGATTGGGATAATGTAGAAATTGTAAATAGAGGAAACACCAGACAGTAATGCCAGGGAATTCCTAGAAGCCAAGTGTACTCGAGTGAATTAGCAATTAACAAACACACGATCACAGACCAAATTTACCAACTAATAAAAAGTAAATCACATGACTAGAAAGTTCAAATCAAGAGTCAATTAGAACGATCAATAGACACGTAAATTAACAACTAATCACAACAACAATAATGTCAAGTCGGTCCTTCTATACGGATCAAAAACGAGGCAGGCGTGTCACGAAAGGGATTCCCAACAAGTTATAGTCTTTTATCGATAACGGCTTTCACTGGCTCCATACTGAAGATCAAATGGCCAGCCAGCCAGATAGAAAGAATAAGCAACAATAAACTAGCTGGCAACAAACCAACCAAGTTCAGATCGCTCAGATGGAAATGGATAGGGTATACATTAAGGAAATAGTCGAATGACATCGCGCTCAATGCAGGTCATTTCTCGAGTGGGATCCCATTGGGAAGCGACGAGTGGGTCATCAGTGTAAGGGCAGCATGGAGGAGATCGTGTGAGGAAGAGGTGAGCGATTATAGGCATTCGTGGACCCAGCTGAAGAGGATGGCAGAAAACCGAAGAAAGTGGAGATGTGTTATTGAAGCCCTGTGTTCCACTCGGAACCCACGGGGAATAATAATAATAATATAAAGCAATGGTTGTCGGAGGAGAGACAATTATATCATCATTCATGGAGGGAGAATTCAAATGAGTTTATTTTATACTAAAACCTGCACTTGAACATGTTGTCTAGAAGGTGGACGACGAAAGCTTTTCAAATGAATCAATCAGCTCACAGAACACAACTAATTCAATAATGTTTGAGCAAGCAGTTAGCAATGCACAATTGTAAGAGCTGTCATGTAGGCTAATGAGTTCTACGCATAATCCAGACTTATAGGAGGATAGAATAGGATAGTCGTAAATTCTTCATGTCAGTAGATTCTCCAAGTCTTATATACGCTTATGTTTTATGCCCAAAATTATGAAGACAACTGACTCCTCAAACAAAATACAAAGTAATATCAGTATCATTTAACCATACGAAGAGAAAATACTTTATGTGCTAGTGAAAGTACATAGCGCAATCGATCCTTCCAAGATGTCCATATCCAGGAAGTTGATTAGTGTGTGTTGTGTCACCAGGAACAGACCACCGGTTAGGGACTGCTGCAGGGTATAGCGAGATGTACAATTTCGGCGGCAGAGCTTTTCTAACCCTCCCTACTACTCCACAGAGCATCAAGGCAGCATATCTCGTCGTTCGAGGGGAACATTTCACTGTTGATACACCGCCAAGTCATTTTTAGGTATGAAAATGTTATAAAATGCTTATTGTAGGACTGTGGGAAGCTATATATATATATATATATATATATATATATATATATATATATACGTCAAATGACTTACTTGTCGAAGAATGCTAACATGCTTAGAAAACTAACATCTCCTATTCCTGATGATAAACTTGCAGATACAATGCCTAAAAGCGAAAAATACAAAGAAAGTAGTTTAATTTAGACGGACTTCATCATGAACACACACCAATCACAGAGATATTTAAAAAAGGAGAACACCGGACAGATATTTTCCTTCCGGTTTTGAACCCTTCAGCAGTGAACAGCAATCGGATCTCCAGAAGTGAAGAGCCGTCATATTATTAACAACAAAAATAGGACAGGGATACAGGAGGAGAATGGTTAGGAGGGCTTCGTGTGCTTTTGGAAGTGTGTGGGTGGTTGTTACTTCCCAGCTGCCCACACCGTGTGAGTTGATTGATTCTTCGGGTACCTGAAACAGAAAGGTTAGTATTGCTTGACTACAGAGGCCAGGGGACAACTCCTTGAGGCCGCTCACACAAGGCCTGTACGAACTGGCTTCTTGAATTGGTTCCGTATTAGTAAATTTACCGCCGGCTACGGACCACCGTAAGGTAAGTCGGGATTTACAATTTTTGTAGTCAACCTTTCCCAACCCACTCTCTTCAGAGTGGAGAGACAGCATAGCTGATTGGCATGCTGATCATCTGAGGGAAACACCTCACTGCTGTTACATCCCTGTTCCCCAGCAGTACGACTTCACCCACAGACCCCCAGCATAGTGTGAAAAAAAATTCTTACACTATTCCGGTAACTGCTTTTAGTCTAATCGTTACCCTAACAGTCTTCCTGGCATGGTAGGACCTGCAGGAACATTAGTTCCGGCCAGTGTGGCTTGTTGGGTCATTGCGATATGCATGCCCGACCACCACATCAAGGTAACAGCTATCGGTCGGGAACAACAAAAACAACAAATACCTAATGATAAGATAGTTAAATCGTGAAGTTTTAACATTGTCCTTCACAATTACGTTGTTACCTAAGAAGATAATGAAAGCTTGATGATTATACTAACCAACTATGAGGGCACAACAGCCGCAAAAACGCCTATCCGAATTAAAAATCCAATCTACTATAGCAACAGTGATAAGAAGCTATACACACAAAAGGAGACAAATATTAAAACCGTAGACCTAGAAGTGATTTGGAAACTACTGCAACACTACAGGGTACCTCAATTCTTTGTTGACCTCATTCAGCAACTATATGACAATATCACGTATCAAGTGATCCACAACGGAAAACTCGGCGAGGTGTTCGAAGTGCATACAGCAGTAAGACAAGGCTGTCTATTGTCACCGATGATATTCTTAATTGTGGTGAACTGGATTATGCGGCAGACTGTTGGGGGTAAGGAGTCAAGAATACTCTGGACGACCGATAAAAAGACTCTAGAAGATCTGGATTTCGCAGATGATATATGTCTAATGTTACATAAACTCGAAGACTTGCAAGTGAAAACCAACAAACTGGCTGAGGAGGCTGGCAGTGAAAACAGGACTGCAGGTGAACATAGAGAAGACGGAGGTGATGAAGATAACCAACCACCACCGACAGCAACAACCAGCACGAATCACTATCAACGGGAGAGATTTAACAGAGGTTATCTCCTTCACTTATTCGGGAAGCATCGTTTCAACTAAAAGCGGCATCACGGACGAAGATGTCAAAGTCAGAATCGGAAAGGCAAGATACACCTTCATCAACCTGAAACAAGTTTGGAAATCTTCCGCACTCAGCATAAGGAACAAGATTTGCATTTTCAACACAAATGTGAAGTCGGTTCTTCTATACGAGTCAGAAACTTGGCGGGCGTATCACGAAAGGGATTCCCAACAAGTTATAGTTTTTTTATCGACAACGGTTTTCACTGGCTCCATACTGAAGATCAAATGGCCAGCCGGCCGTCCAGAAAGAATAGGCAACAAGAAACTCTGGCTGGGAACAAACTAACCAAGAGCCGATCGCTCAACAAATATGTAAGAGAAAATGGAGATGGATTGGGCATACATTGAGGTAACCGTCAAATGACATCACGCACAATGCAGCCCATCGCTCGAGTGATATCCAATAGGGAAGCGACGAATGGGCCGTCAATGTGAGGGTGAGATGGAAGAGAGCGCGTGAGGAAGAAATGAGGGATTATGGGTAATCGTGAACCCATGTGAAAAAGATGACAGAAAATAGGAGAAAGTGGAGATGTGTTGTTGAAGCCCTATGTTCCACTCCGAATCTAAGGGAATAATAGTAATAAATACTCATTCTTACAAATAACAGGGGAAAGCTAAATACTTTAATATGTCATTCCAGAAGCGACCTTATAGTACTAAATATGTGGTTCAAAGACTTGGTGCACTCCTTACTGAAAGCATTTCCCACAGGCTACTACAGACTTTCAACAACATAGATGGTTAGCCACAAAAGTTATGCAAAAAGGAGTTTTGGCAAACAGCCAATCAGCAACAAACCTATTGACTAACAAATATGTAGAAGAAAATGGAGATGAGTTGGACATACACACCGAGGAGACATTCAAGTGATGTCCCATAGAAGGTATGTCCTCGAGTGGAACCCAAGTAGGAAGCGACGAGTTGGGCCTACGTCCGAGGGTGACATGCAGCAGACAATGTGAAGAAGAAATCAAAGCTTCTGGGAAGTCGTGGAGCCTGTTGAAAGTGATAGAAGATGATTGAATGTATTCCGATGTCCCAATGAAGCCTCATGTTCCACTCGAAACGCAAGAGAAAAAATTATAGGATACAACTTAATGCAGCTTCCTCATTAACCATTACAATTAGATATCTCAGTTAAGGAAATAATTCTTAGTCTAGAAAAAGTTATTTAATATGATCAATTAAATCGGAGTGAAACTGCATACTCTCAAGATGCAACTATTGACTGGTCACCAAGACTTAGGTGCAAACTGTGAACGCGATTGTAGGAGAGATAGCCAGTATATCCGGAGGTTGGAGGTAATCGGTAGGAGCGCTTGTCGGCACTCTTCAAGCAAGGTTTATATGCAACCATGAAGGAAAAGGTGTCTCCACCGAATCTCAAACGCTCGGCAGCCAGTAACCAAGTTAAACTTTGAACACCAGTAATTACCGGCGGAGTGCGACTGCACACCAATGGTCTTGAAACGCTCAGCAAGCAAGTTAGTGAAACCTGGTAAATAATATTGTAGGCATGAATAAAATATGCTCAATGAAGCGTTATGTTATTAAATGGGATATCTGGCAAGTTTAAGGTTATGTTTGGGAAAGACTGAGTTCAGGTTTAGACTAAGGACAAGTTAGCGTTAGGTTAACCTGATGAGGGCGATATAAGGATTGGTTTGAGATGGATTAGGGTGAGTTTATGAATATTTTCACGTTAGATTTAGCTTAATGAAAGATTAAGGCTATTGTTACGGTTAGAAGACTAGATAATTACATGCACATAATGTGGTTAAATTACTCTGTTGATAATCCAATCCAAAACAGAAACGTATTTTTCTCACACATCAGAGGAAGGTATCTTTCATAACAATGTCATGCCTTTTAATCCATTAATTTCATGAATCTAATATGTATTTTATACGCAGAAATCACCTTGATCATGTGGTTGATGCGTTTAAGGTCACCTGCCCGTTAGTATTTACTGTTCTTTTTATTCCTTCACGTTCCCAGTGGAACATTGGGCTTCATGCTAGAGGCTTGAAGCTTCTATAGCAGTGTTTATTTTTACAGGATGGGGTTGCTAGCCTCATGCCCAACCTTTCCTCTTTACTAGCTTTTATTGCTGGCTTAACGAGGTAAAGGAGTGCGTCGGCTGGGGTTCGAACCCCGGACCATGTGCATGGTCAGCGAGCATCCTAACCGCCGCGCTACCGACGCACTAGTATTTACTGTTGCTTAGAGTTTAATTTTGCCCACCCAGTAATCAAAATCACCAAAACGTTATAAGTGAGCTGTCGTTGTATTTTTCACATAATATCAAACCAAAATGTTGACAGGAAAAAGAGCTGGGAGCAGTTTCTATACGATAAAAGAAGAGACTTACCTAAAAGACTCATATAAAAGGACTGCGAGAAAGAGACCATCAGGAAACTATTGACAGCCAAGAGAACGGCACAAATGATTTTAAAACTGTTCAGGTGAATAAAATAGAAAATATATAGATGCAAATAAGTCCATTTACCAAAAATACATCTTGGTTAACAATTATATGCAAGGAGATTATATATATACATGCATATACATATATATATATATATATATATATAACATTACAAGTATTTCAACGTAACTATTAATAGCGATTTTCAAGTATTGGTTTTGTAGGGATTTTCATTTCATTCGTCGGAGGATTTCATCATGAACTGACATCAGTTAGAGAACCAGTGGAAAACCGCCTGGGAGTACTGAACAGTTGTTTCGTCCTAGTTTGAGACTCTTCATCAGTGTGTTCCCACCGGGGCTCATGATGAACACCTCCGACCAATTAAACAATAATCCCTGCAAAAACCAATACTTGAAAATTAATCTGATGCTCACTAGCGACTGGTCCTATTCAGATAGGTAGTTACCTGGGGTTCTAGTGAGAAGCTGTGACCGGTCGGGTGCAGTAAGTTGAAAGTGAGGCAGTAACTTATCGAAGAAGATATTGCGAAGTGGTCGCGCTAAGTCATGAATCGGTAGAAGTTAGAATTCATGGGCTGGCTATTGGATCGCGTCCCAGTGGCTTAATGGTCTAAGAGCCAGCTCGCCTTGTAACCAGAAGGTCCTGGGTTCGAACCCGGACGGCGGATGCTGTCCAGTACTCCCAGTGGTTTCCAATGGTTCTCCAACTGATGTCAGCTCATGATGAAATCTTCCAACTACTCATAATGATTTTTTTTTTAAATTCTTCACACATTTTTATTTTGACAAATAAATCTATCTAAACACCACCTATGATTATATCTAAATAGATTTATAATTGAAGCTTAAACGAAAGCCACATCCGCCTCACGATTCAAAGCATATAAAGCCTTTAGTCTATTCACTCGTAGCCACACAGACGACTCTACAAGATCCAGCTTGCCAACTAATAAGCATCGAATTCACAACTTAGCGAAACTCTCACCGTCCAAGTGAAACAAAGATCTGATCGATCACCAAATGGGTTTCGTCAATCGCTCACCTGGTGAAACGCCAGACCAATAACTAATATCTTTGTGATCACCAGTTCTAATACTAAATGACCTATACAATAAGACTAAACTAACACAATAGGAACTAATTTTCAAGTATTGATTAGTAGGGATTTGATGGACTTCAATTTAGATTAAGGGATTGAAGATTAATCTAGTTAGTAGCTCACTACAAGATAAAGTTGTCTAAAGTTACTAGTGGGAAGTAGTAGTGACGACCACCTTTGGCATGAAGACAGACACTCACCAATGACATTGGTTGGCCATCACGCTATTTCGGGAGTCATCTTTAGTAGGCACCCACCACAGGGAGTTCGAACTCAGAACCTTTCAGTTACAAGACAAGCTGGCTTGTATACCATTCAGCCACTGGGACCCGACTGGATTCAATGGCCAGCCCATGAATTCTGACTTCTACCAATTCGTGATTTAGCGTGACCACCAACCAATGTTATCGGTGGGAAATCCATCCTCACACCTGGTTGGTGGTCATGCTAAATCACGAATTGGTAGAAGTTGGTAGAAGAATTCATGGGATGGCCGTTGGATCCGGGTCTCAGTGGCTGAATAGTTTTTTTCTATTCCTTCACGTTCCCAGTGGAACATAGGGCTTCAAAGTACAGGCTTGAAGTTTCTGTAGCAGTGTTTACTTTTACAAGATGGGGTTGCTAGCCTCATGCCCAACCTTTCCTCTTCACTAGATTTATTTCTGGCTTAGCGAGGTAAAGGAGTGCATTGGCCGGGGATAGAACCCCAGACCATGTGCATGGTCGGCGAGCGTCCTAACCACTGTGCCACCGACGCAAGGCTAATTGGTTTACGAGCTAGCTTCCCTTGTAACCGGGAGGTCCTGGGTTCGAACCTTGGTGGTGAGTGCGTACTGCCAATGAACCACAAACTAGGATGAAACAGCTGGCTGTCCAGTACTCCAGTGCTGGTATTCAATGGTTCTTTGAGTGATATCAATCCGTGGTCAAACTCGTAAAAGCAAATCTAATCCTTAGAGACCAACTCTTGAAAAAAATAATGGAGATATTTAAAGATTCAAACTAAACATGAAAAAGTATGACGGCAACCTAATGACGACCTCAATATCAACTCACTAGGTTGCTTAAATTACACATGGAAAGTGTATTGTAAAAATAAAAATTCCCTATAACAGCGGTTCTGAATACAAAAAAATAGAGATAGTCACCTCTAGGACACATTCTAGCCGATATTTTCCATGCAAAACTATAGAGTGGGCCTTTTAAAGATGCACTTGATAAACTAGAATTCTACTGTCAGTACATGGATGATACATTTCTGATCAACAAAAATTAAGATGAAGCAAAAAAACATCCTGGACAAATTTAACGATGTTCATCCTGAAGTAAATTTTACCATCGAGAAAGAAAGAGACTCTAGCATTTCATTCCTAGACGACGTCCTTAAGACTAGAAAAGAGGACGGTACACACCAAGAAGTGTATAGACTCATTTCTTTTTCAGATTCATGCCTTTGAAATAAAAACGCGATCTGATAATGTGCTTCATCCACAGAGCATGAGCAATCTGCCCTGATGAATGTCTTAATGAAGAGTGAGAATGGTAGCCCAGAGAAGTTCATCGATCACGGCACGTCAAAGTACCACCATCTTCATATACTGTTCTGTTCTTTTCTTCTAATAATTTGTTGAATTTCTTAATTTGCGTGGTTTTTGATTTCTTCAAAGAAAGTCTAGGTAGCAATAATTCCGAAAAGGGCCTTATTATTGCAACTCCAGTTCCTCAGGGATAAAATCAGTAATATATCAACACAACGCCTAGAGAGTACGGAGGCAAAAAAGGAGCATTCAGTGCTGCTAAATTATGCTGTGTCTTCAAAATAACCGACCCCTATTTTGCGTTCGGGAGTTAAAAATAAACGGCCTAATTTCGCCTCTGCTATATGTATCTACAAATTCTACTACTCCTGTGGAGCCAGTTACATAGGCCGTACAATTAGGCGTGTTTATCACCGGATTTCCTAACATCACCCTGCATAGTGGTTAAGTAAAGGACAAACAAAATCTATTCAACGCGCTATTCCATCTCATCCTGTGGATACAGAACACAAGATTGATGTTAACCAAGCTTTCAGATTCATCTACCGTATACCAACTAATCTCAATTTCGCCCTAAGAGTTCGTCTGCAAGATATTGTTGAGCTTGGCTGTTGGAATCTACATTAAGAAACCTAACTTATGTATATATCCAAAAGAAGTTGGTTCAGACACTCTCCTTACCCACCCACCCCGGGCCATCAAGGTCTTAATGATGCTCATACTGTTGTGGAAATTTCCCTAATTTTATTTGATATTCTATTTACTATTACGTTTTATTCTTATTATGATTTAAGCGTCTTTATTGGAGTGTAATTCCATTGAGCTTACTTAACAAATCGATAATATTTGACGACTATTCTCGGATATTCTATGTACATAAACATACATATGTGATTGTAGAGCCAGAAAAAGAAATTATCGAAAAGGATACTGTTTGCTCAATTTCTTTTTGGCTAAATGTCTGAATGAATATTTTCGCTTTATAGTCAACATGGAGAGAGGGTCTCAAGAAGAATCTCTTCTATACCGATGGAGTTATTTTTGAACAGCAAAATGACTCCCAGGAATGCAATAAACAAATTAATCTGTTAAGTAACTAAAGAACATTTCCAACAGCATTCGATTCCAAATTTGAAACCTAGTCACACCATTACCAAAACCACATAGAAACAATTGATACAGTCCGTTAATAGCCTAAAGGTCGGTCATCGTAATGAAATATTAAAGTTCCGAATCGTATATGTGGTAATAGTGTAAAGACAGAAGACAAGGGCCAGGCAACAGATAGCCTATTGAGAAAATCAACAGATATTTATAGATTTTTATGTACATTATTATTCGTTATTGTTAGCGTCTTCTGATTGGTTGTTTTCCTGCTGAAGGTTATTCTGTCATCTCTTTGTTGCCTTTTCTTAGACAGACCGGTGATATATCTGCTAATGGTATCCGCCCACGCTAACTCTGATGTGATTGGTTGAGTTCCTCAAGGTTAGTCTGCGTTTTTGTTGTTTTTTTCTCATGACCAAGATTTAGGACGTAAACATTGACGCAAATTGCTGTCTACTAATTTTGGTTAGCAGACAGCTCTCACCACAATGGTTGCTAGTTGGATTTCAGACTTGTTATTTATAGTTTAATTCATTTCCAACGTCCCTATTTTCATTCAGGCTCAACACCAACAATCACCCCATTCAAATAATCCGTTACCAGACCGATGAATATTAGTTAGACAATAGAAAGTTTTATGTGACCCCACTATTGATGACCATCTGTAATATGGAAACTTAATAATTAGACTGAGTACAAGTACAAACTGTGAGCGCAGGCACATCCCCTAATGATAAGTTCGAGGTAGAACGAAAAGTACAACGACCGATAGTTTATCTAAACTGTTATTCCGCGGTCTTCAAAACCCTTTTTTAACCAGTATTTGATTTATGTGTTTCTAAGAGAGACTGCTGTTGCATTGTGTTATCAAAAAATTCACTCGTAGCCTTGCATATTATTGCCTATACAAAACAATCTCACAGATGGCATATGCTAAACAGGACCCAACTTCCCATTCCATTACTTATCACCTATTGTTCACCTACTACAAATTCCGTTGTAGCTTGTTTTCTTTGTGGTTTCTTCTACATGTGTAGAACACTTATTGGAAAACGATAATCAACCTGGTCAACAGCATACTAATACTCATTGCTACATATATGGGTTCCACTCTAGGGCATACCTACTGTGTGGCGTCACTTGAATGTCTCCTCGCTGTGTGTATGTCCAACCCATCTCCATTTCCTTCTACATATTTGTTAAGCAATAGGTTCGCGGCTGATGGGCTGCCTGAAGAGTTCCTTGCTGCTTAACCTTTCTGGTTGGCTATCTGATCTTCACTATCGAGGTGTTGATAAAAGTCTTTAGCCTGCTGGAAATACTTAAGATGACACACCAAATTTATAAAGCATATAAAGGCACCTATTTGACGACGTTAGTGTGAAAGATCCGATTCTTCTTCCTTTTACCTAGTGCTGTAGATCTCCATACTGATTTCAGAATAATAAATGCCTGTCTTGCTTTCAAGATCCTGGCTTTGATACCTTCATCCATGTCACCTGTTATTATTATTATTCCCTTAGGTCCCGAGTGGAACATAGGGCTTTAACAGCGCATTTTCACTTTGTTCTGTTTTCTGCCATCCTCTTCATCTGGGTCCACGATTGACCAAACTCTCTCATCTCCTGCTAACCAACACACAACCTCCTCCATATCACTCTCGCACCGACGACCCACTCGTCGCTTCCCATTTGGATTCCACTCGAGTATTGGCCTGACGTGCGATATCATTCGACGGCCTCCTCAATGCATGCCGGATCCACCTCCACTTTATCCTACATATATTTGTTGAGCGATCGGCTCTTGGTTGGTTTGTTCCCAGACAGAGTTTCTTGTTGCTTATTCTTTCTGGTCAGCCATTTGATCTTCAGTATGGAGTGAATGTAGCTGTTGATGAAAGTCTGAAACCTGTTGGAAATCCTTTTCGTGACATGCAGTGCAAGTTTCTGACCCGTATAGAAGAACTGACTGATTGACTTAACATTTGTGTCGAAAATCCGAATCTTGTTCCTTATGCTGAGTGCAGAAGATTTCGTCCGTTCCGCCTGTAGTAGAAACGATGCTTCCCAGATAAGTGAAGGAGACAACCTCTGTTAAATCTCTCCCGTTGATGGTGATTCGTGCTGGTTGTTGCTGTCGGTGGTGGTTGGTTATCTTCATCACCTCCGTCTTCTCTATGTTCACCTGCAGTCCTGTTTTCACTGCCAGCCTCCTCCTCAGCAAGTTTGCTAGTTTTCGCTTGCAAGTCTTTGAATTTGTGTGGCATTAGACATATATCATCTGCGAAATCCATATCTTCTAGAGCCTTCTTATCGGTCGTCCAGCGTATTCTTGACTCCTCGCCCCCAACAGTCTGACGCATAATCCAGTCCACCACATTTAAGAATATCATCGGTGATAATAGGCAGCCTTGTCTTACTCCTGTATGTACTTCGAACGCTTCACTGAGTTTTCCGTTGTGGATCACTTGATATGTGGCATTGTCAAGTAGTTGTTGAATGAGGTTAACAAAGACTTGAGGTACGCCGTAGTGTTGAAGTAGTTTCCAAATCACTTCTCGGTCAACATTGTCTGACGAAGGCCTTTTCGAAGTCAATGCAGTCAAGGTAGAGTGAGGTTTGACCGCCATTCTATGCTTTGTTCTTTGATGACGATGCGTAGAGTTGCAATTTGATCATCACATGATTTGCCTTTCCTGTCAACTGTTATGGAAGTGGATGAACGTGGTTAATGGTCGGGAAAGCCTTATGCGCTTATCGAGGTGTATGAACAGTTATTACTTCCCGTCTGTCTACACCATGAAAGTGAATTCCTTGTTGGGGTACCTGAAATAGAAGCACTAACGTTGCGCGGCCGCAAAGCTAAGGAAAACACTGCTTGTGACCAGTTACACATGACTTGTCTGAGTGCCACTGCTTCTAACATAAATAGCTATACAACTTGAAGTACCATGATAAAGGATGAAATCTTCACCAAGGGGACCTTTCTACCCACTAGCAGATTTGAAGGAAAAGCTATTTCCCTTCACTTTCAATAACACTGTCAAACTTAACAGTCGAAGCTATGATTATCCTATTCTACCACCACTGAGGGAGAGGCCTCTCGAGTGGTTGCACCACAGGATGATACTGCATGCCAGTCTCATCTCGCAACAGGGAGAGATAGGTGTGTTCGGTCTTCCTGAAAACCAATAACCAGTCAATGGGTGTACCATTATGTGAAAAATGCGTCGCAAGGCACAGCGGTAGAATGCCCACCGAACATGCATACTGTCCAGTGTGTCGATCCCCGGCTACCGACACACTCCTTTACCTCACTAAGCCAGTAATAAGCCTGGTAAAGGGGGAAGGTTGGGCATGAGGTGGCTAGCAACCCCATCCCGTAAAAGTGAACACCACTGCTACTGAAACTTCGAGCCTCTAGCTTGAAGCCCTGTGTTCCAGCACTGGAAACGTACAGGAATACAAAAAAACCACCTCATGGACTGAGATCAATGAAGTATTCTAAACATTTGGCATATAGTACATTTTCACTCAAAAAATAATGATCAATGGGAATCGAAATATTCAAAACTACTGCCAGTCTTTTACTGAATTCATTACAATATAAATAAACTCACTGAAAATGAAGCCGGTGTATAAACATTGGAGCAATAAACTTGAAAAGCATACTGGGAAGTATATCAGCCAGTAGAACACTCTATAATGTTGAAGATAGAGTTAATATCTTTAAACGAAGATAGGACCTACACCAGTCCCAATTTGTGTACAGTTTATACGATTCTCAGCGATATTTGAAGTAGACTTGATTTCAGGCTAAAACAGACAAAAACAGAAAACATACCGAACTATGAATTTTTTTTTAAAAACACTATAAGCATGAATAAGTGTAGGATATTTCTGAAACAGTTAATCTACCAAATAAGTATGGATAGTGTGACAGAGCCTATATACTTATTCTAAAGCCTGATATAGGATTACGCGACTGGTTGCAAGTGTGAACGCATGTGAAGTTAAAGTGTTATCAATAGTTGGTTTGTAGGGATTAGATTTGTTTTTTTGAGTTTAACCAAGGATTGATATCAGTCAAAGAACCATTGAAAGCCAGCAGGGAGTACTGGACAACCAGCTATTTCATCCTAGTTTGGGAATCATCGACAGTACGCACCCACCACAGGGAGTTCGAACCCAGGACCTTCCGGTCACAAGAAAAGCTCATATACCACTCAGCCACTGGGGCCCGACCGGATTCAATGGCCAGCCCATGAATTCTTCTACCAACTTCTACCAATTCGTGATTTAGCGCGACCACCAACCGAGTGTGAGGATGGATTTCCCACCGATAACATTGGTTGGTGGTCACGCTAAATCACGAATTGGTAGAAGTCAGAATTCATGGGCTGGCCATTGAATCCAGTCGGGTCCCAGTGGCTGAATGGTATACGGGCTAGCTTGCCTTGTAACCGGAAAGCCTTGGGTTCGAACTCCCTGTGGTGGGTGCCTACTGAAGATGACTTCCAAAATAGCGTGATGGCCAACCAATGTCATCGGTCAGGGTCTGTCTTCATGCCAAAGGTGGTCGTCACTACTACTTCCCACTAGTAACTTTAGGTCTTGTAACCGGAAGGTCCTGGATTCGAACTCCCTGTGGTGGGTGTGTACTGTCGATGATTCCCAAATTAGGCTGATGAAACAGTTGGCTGTCCAGTACTCCAGTGCTGGTTTTCAATGGTTCTCTAACTGATATCAATCCGTGATCAACTCGTAAAATGTTATCCATTTTGTGCCATGAAAACAAATTTGTAGCGGATATCTTATCAGATGAGATTAAAAAATTGCAGATTAAAGTGATATTTAATCTAGTAAAGCTTCACAATATGAGCATTATTAATAAAAAAAGAATCTTATTCTATAAAAACTTCTGGGCATCTATACGGATTGATTAAGATTCATAGACTTAACAGTCCCCGTTAAGTTCAATACTGCCAATGTATCATTCTCCTGTACATCGATTATTGGGTAACTGGAGCGACTCAGACAAGTCTTCATAGAAAATCCATATCCTCCGAGATTCATCGAAAAAACATGAAGTTAAAGCAAAAGCCTGAAAGAACCCAGACGGTTCCGAAGGAACTGCATTTTATGAACGCTGAATTTAAAGGTGGTGACACCGCAGCTGAAATCCTGAAGAATCGTTCATGCAGATCATTGAGAAAAGCCTTCTTTGTAAATGAGCTACGGATCAATTTTTACAGCTGACAAATGATCAATTGATATGTGGAGGATAAACTCCTGCCACTTTGGGCCACTTCAATGTGCGTTTATAAATTCACCTGCTCGTTCGGAGCTAGTTATATTGGCCGCAAAAAGCGCACACTTTCCAGGCGCATCTGTGAACATTATGCAGCATGGTTGGTTAGCAAAAGGACAATGCAAGACAGTGACTAGCTCAGTTATCGAGTACTTGGTGAACTCAAGCCACGTAGCTCCACCAGAGTCGTCTTTCAAGATCATCTACAGGGTGAGGCCAAATGGTACAGAGGGCGTCAGATTTCTACATTTATGTGTGACGGCAGCATTGACAATTCGCCAATGATTACTTCGCTTTTACTTTAATAATTAATTCACTATTATCACTCCCATATGTTCCTTTCGTACGTTTTCTCACCCTCTTCACACTCGACTACCTTTACTTTCACTCAATAACAATTTTAACCTTATCAAGTTTCTAACGCTTCCTTCCTTTGTGCCGTTGAGTATTACGTAATTTACAACTTTTAATTTTTACTTTTGAAGCCACTTCTAAGTAATTACATCAACTATGTCACCCCTCCCTACTACTCAATAATGGACTACTTTAGAGTTTTGGTAAATATAAATACGACTGTACAGCCTGTGAAGATGATTTTATTCCTTTTATTATAGCTTGATTCCACACCATATTCCTGCTATAAGTATGGAATTCTCAGCATGTGATATCGGTAGCCCAAATTCTGCAGGCCGACCATAGATATCAGGTGTATGTCGGCAGAGGATCGAATCCCAGAAAATTTTCTTGACTGAGTTGTCTTTTATTTTCTTCATGAATCAGTTGGTATTTTCTGTGATTATCGATTAAATTTATTAAAAATACAAACTTGGTATATAATGGGCACCAAGAAATGCACTGCACAAAAATATATAAGAAAAATAGGGGTAGAATAAATGAGTGATGTCCTCCAGAAAGCCAGTAAGCATACTTGTTAAGGCTATTCAACATTCATCACTCCATGTTACTTTCAGAAAGGGAAAAACGAAGCAAACTGTAGCACATTAGTTCATGATTGAGATTCTTGGCCGAAAGTGATAACGTTTCGAGCCACCAATTGAAATTATCTCTCCGACAGCCCCCCCCCCCCAGGGAGTCACAACGTACCAAAGGATACTAACAAAACACAATTATTCTTCATACTACGGTGCCGTCATAGGCTAGTCACCCCTCCCACTTTTCTATTTAGTCCCAGGGCTAGAGCAAACAGCGAAAGATTCGGCAGCCTGTACGATGATACTATTGGCACATATCTAAACCACAGAAACCGATGTTTCAGGATGACTACAATCAGTTATACATAAAGTGGCAAAGCAATAAGAGAAAATTTTGAACCCAGCTTGGAATGAAGTACTTAAGTATTCTTTAGGAGACACTTTTGAACTAGTTGACTGCTTCGCATGCATGAATATTAAAGATAAAAGAAGTATAGTCTTTCAATGCAAACTCTGTTTAGTCAAGGCTTTGATCCTTTGTGATTATATCATCCTCTAGTAGTCTTTTATGCAGTATTCTTCCAAATTACCTGAAAGTTATAATAATTACTGTTATTATCAAGCACTAATACCTTTCGAAGGTGGATGAAGGTGCCCTCTCCATAGGCATCGAAAAGCTGGAGGGAGGTGTTCAAAAGAAACTAGTTTAACCTCTACATTTACCATGAGTCTAGTTCGGTTTGACTCCTTAGTTTCCGTTTTTGTTATTTTCATTCCCTTTATTGTTTTACTTTTCACTTATTAAAAAAACTATTATTTTCATGCTTATCCCATTCACATCTATATTTTTTTTAAACTACTTTCTGATCCTGTGTAATTTTGTTTCTAAACCCTCTTGTAATCTATATTCAAACTCTTGAAATTTCATATTGTCGCCTTTAATCTCCTCCTTCGTTATGATGTGGAATTAAATAAATAATAATAATTGTATCTATGTAAACTTATGTATACAAATAAGATTGTACAGCTTTCGAAAATGTGAAATCTCTGAAAAGATTACCATCTTTGCTGAACTTCTTGTTATTTTCTCTCTAAATGTCGATCACCGTATCTGTCCTAATGGAACAACAAGTGATAACTACAGATTCTTGATTAGTATACTTATGTCATTTGAAGTAAACTTCAAAGCCTACAGTTTATTCTGTCCCACAAAAACATGGTTGCATTAAAATATCTGATAGAGAGAGACTAAAACGAATCATCTAGAGCCCGACTTATTATCATGCATTACAACACCGACATAAGATATTTTATGAACTGACTAGCTGCAGCTAGTAAAGTTAGAAATGAGGCAGGTAAAATTGATATTACCATTCTATAGCCTATACATCAACAAGTTGGTTCACTTTAATCTTCGTTAACCAAATATAACAACGGTATAAATAAAAGAACAGAAAAGATGTTAAGGTCAACAGCAAAATTATTTTTATTTATTTATTTATTTATTTAAAACACAAAACCTGGTACAATATGGTACCAGAAATATGCGTCACACAACAATAATAAAATAATATACGAAAAATAAAAATAGGTAGAAAATGAATAAAGGACTTCATCTGGGAAGAAGGCAGTTATACTTCACAAGACTAAACAGCATTCGTCGAATTATTTTCAGAAAGGGAAGACAGAAGGAAATTGAAGCATGTTCCCCATTGATGGTTGTGATTATTGGGCACATCTGATAACGTTTCGAACCACCGATTTGAGCTATCTCTCGGACCCCAACCAGGGATTCAAATTGCACCAGCCGATGCAAACCTACCACAAATATCCTTCATCCCACGATACCACGTCATGGGCTGACCACGTCTCCGCTTCTCCATCCAGTCCCAGGGCTAGCGAATAGAGAACGATACGTGAGCCTCTAGGATGACATTCGTAGCATTAGACCAAGCCACCGGAGCCCGTGTTTCCAGATGACGACACTATGAAGTGATCTCCACTGTGTCCAAACAAACGCCGCCAGGCCTTAGAGTTACTCACACGATGACTTCCTTGCCGACAACTGCTACCTTGTCGTGATGGTCGAGCTTGAATACTATAGTGACCCAACAAGCTACACTAGCTGGGACTTATGTTCCTGCAGGCACTACCATGCCGGGAAGGTTGTTTGGATAGCGGTTGGACTAAAAGCAGTTACTATGAGGTACATGGGCTCCAGAATCCAATCGGATCTAATGGCGTATGAACCTATATTAGTTACCGACATCTATGGGAAACTAACTCCTGAGGCTTCTCCGTTGCTTTGCGAATTAGACACCATTTCAAAGGCTCGGGTAATAGTTCCTTAAAACAAGCACCTCCTTCGGTCTTGGCGCCCAGGCAGTATTTCAGCCCTCACACAATCAGTGAAATGAAACACCAAACCATGAGTGAAACAGAAAAAATACTAGCAGAGGTAGTACATACAAATAAATATGTTAAATGGATATTCAATCACGCCACTGGGTTGTCAGAGAAAGCCACTAATCATCTGGACGCTTCAATAACTCCAACCAAACAGTCCCTATTTTCTACAGAATTCACATCAACCATTAGATACTTTGTGGATTGATGCCATGTTTTGATCAACCACACACTTAGTTTCTTCCGACATAAGCTGAATTTAGCCAGTAAGCTATACCAAAGTAAGTGATGAGGTATGTGAACGATTTCATCAATTAAATTGCCATGACTTTTCTACAGATCAAAATCTAGACTAATATTTAGGATTTATTTAGTCTGTTAACTTAGTAATTACAGTTCCTAAAAGCTAAGCTCTAATAAAACACTTCTCTAGACTTCCAAAACAAGCGAGGTTTAGGAATGCGTTAGTCAGGAATCTGGCACGGAGCACGTGTATTGGTTGGTGAGTATTCTACCAGTAAAACATCGACACAAATTTTATTAACTAATATGCACCAAAGATTAAGTCATAAAGTACAACTAACATTGAAATTTTAATCTAAAACCTATACAGACATAAAAGTGAAAAACTTCTATCAAAGAGAAATCTTACATTTTCCTGTCTTCGAATAATATCCACTGCTGCGCTTAACATTATCACATAGGAAAAATTGTTGCCAAGACCAAAACACCTGAAACAGTAGAAATATATGCTTCTTTTTCCAAATATTTAAATATTACCAAAAGGCTATATTATTTCGACATTTTCGACGATTCGAACAGCAGTAAACTCTCTGACCTATTAAAAATAATTTTCACCACATTAGAAATATGGCATAAATTATTGATTACCTTCACGCATCCTTGAGTACATGACCGACTATGTCAAATTAGAAAAAAAACACAAAGACTAATGAATATATCATATGCAATCATAAAAGTATATCAGCAGAGTAACTTTAAAAATAAACTTAAATACTATACGTTTCGTTATAAACTACCTACAAATTTATATTTCGCAGCCAAGTCAATATGTTAATGTATACAATTCCAACGTTTAAAGCTTTAAATATGAGCCAGTATGAAGCACTATGAGGCTCTACAGATAAAAAAATGCTTCACTTTCAAACAAAGGCAAGAAAAATGAGAATGACCATTAATGATTACTTGAAGAAAAAACCACTTGATTAATTTAAGTACCTATGAAAATAAGCCAATACTTGTGGACTCTTACAAAAATGAAGATCAATTAAGTTTGGAAGACAGCAAACATTTCCAGGAATGGAAGATCCACAGTAAATAGTTCCAATGAAGAATATGAATAGCATACAACAATTATTGTAAATAGCTAAAGAATAAATATGAATTTATGAAAATAGTCTTTCAGACATTATTTTCATACGAGTTAGGATACGAATTTTACAAACATAATCACGAGGAAAGACTTTGTCTTATAAAAATAAGGTTGGGAAACAGAGCTTTGGACTACTGAAATTGATTATGATCTTAGTAAACTGCATACTTCATAAGTAACCAACAGAGATGGACTCTTCGTTTGACATAAGATACATCTTTAAGAAACAAAATCATTAAACCACTGGGATTCTTTGTCACGCTATTGGACGAAAATCTCAAAGCGCAGCTACTTTAGTTTCTCATATTGGCTGTCTGGATTAAACAAATTCTAAAAAATTGAGTCCCCTTGTTATTGCACCACTAAGTAAACAGACGAACACCTTAGTATTCTAAAAATCGAACATAGAGACATTCTCGGAATAGCTGCACATCATGATAAAGTATCTACATTTTATTAAAGAACTTCTGAAATTCGCGATTGAAATGTTGGCATCGTAAAACCACTTCTATTAAAGCTATAATCTTTTTTATGAAGTGTGACAAAGTAAACTGGGATAAATCTGTGCGAAACTCTATATGGATTTTTCAGCACTATAAGCGTAACTTCTTTTCCCAATTAACTTTATTGAATCTTGCAGCCAGGATGTTAGGAGAACACCACTTCAGTTCAGCACATTTAGCATCCTTAGCTACTGTGGAATTTGCACTGAGACTACACTATATTCTTTTTAGAATACCCAAGCGGCGTTAAAATATCTTTTTCTGGTTGGCATTTACGATTGGTAAGGTGCAGTTTATCCAATACTAGCTCATTGAAACATATATTAACAGAAAATTAGGTAAATGAGAAGAATAAAGACAATAGGGAACGAAATGGACATCCTATCAAGGAAAAGAAAAGGTGTCAAGGAGACGTAAGATCACTCGAGTACAATAATAAAAAGAGGAAATAAAGAGGAATTCGTCATGCTGCATTGATCTTTAAGGTGCAATTTCTGGCTAGCCAACGAGTGACGAAATTACTACTGGTAGTGAGGAAAAAACAAATAAGTTAAAAACGTATTACTTTTTTATAAGTAACGTTGACGTCAAATTTATTCAATTTTAGTCCAATGTCCCATTTCCAGTCGTCAGTAACCTTGTGACGAAGTTGAACAAACCTGCTGATCTTTTGCTTTTTTCTCTTTATTGCTATTAAATGGCCCTATATCTTAAATGGATTGCGGCACAGAAGATCTATCTTCTTTGTAGTCATAGTTCATTTGAGTGCTGTGGGTGGGGGTGGTTTTCATATACCAGATTGATTTATCTGCTTCTACTTCTAGGTGGTCAGGAAAAAGCTGCTAATATTTGCTGGTCTTTCATGTTGTAATTTTCCAATTTGCTTCCTGATATCCAATTTTCCTTCAATGCTGAAGAGAAGTTGATAAAATTTGAGTAGATAATGGAGTTAACATAGTGTCAAGAAGAGCCTCAGGAGGGGTTTAGTCATCCACCTGCGCATGGTTTATAGTGCAGTGTACCCCTTCTCGCTGTGTATACATAGCCACACTTGCTTCTATTCTTCTCTTCGGGTCTTTCAGGGCCGTATGTTCAAGATAAATGTGAGGCAAAACAGAATAAAATAATTTCACGAAGTGTTTGTGCATTTACAATCAACAAAAATTGCATGTTTCGGGGAGTAAGTGATGTAAATTGCGTGAAAGACAGTGTTAATAGGACAAAGAAATAATCCGGTAAGTGGAATAAGTCAGACTTAAGCATGAGTGTTATGAATAACGGGAGTGATCATGCAGTAATAACTATGGTAAAAAAACAAAATTACTGCTAATGAACAATTATCAGGTGGCGAAGAACTTAATGAAGTGGGTTGAAACAGATTGTGTTAATACAAGAACATATCTGCAGAGTATTACGTGGACCTAGGTTAACAGATACATAAGCGACAAAAAAAATTAAGTGGAGATTCGATTTGTTAACTATGGATGTTCGTAGATGGTTTGTTGGCTAGTGCTGCACTACCTGTAAATCTGGTTGCCCCATAACACAACCACACATGTATATATTCACATGCACGCATAAAAGGCCCGGTGAGTACGGCCTTTGCAAATGATAGTACATCAGTAGTGGAAAACATCGATACATACGACAAAGCAAGCAAAAAATATATGCCCGTATGATTTTAATAAGAGTTGTTTTGAAACCATGAGCATAACTACACTCTGATACGTCTTAACTGTACATGCCACTGATGAAGATAAAAATTATCCTTTCCATTCGCATTCGCTGCTCTCTTAAAGCTTGGCTATTGGCAGAAAAACACAACACTTTGTGACAGGAAAGGTATATTTTTACCGAAGACATCATAGTTTCCACAGTGAGCATTATACATTGCAAAAACACATCATTCTAGGGACTGTATTGCTCCTTTTTGTGTATCCTCTGTAAGTGTATTTTTGACGGTACATTTCGCTTGCATTCCTGTTAAAAGGACCTAAATTTCATGCAAATTTAACTGTTAAGGTGATAAATATATTAATAATATTACAATTAAGTGGAATTCATGAGGTTCAGTGCCACTAGGGTGATGATGTCAGAAATTCTCTGTCTCAATAATTCCGTTCACTAGTTTTCATTATTCAACGACTGACAGGGACTTGAAATTTTTGGATAACATGTCATCAAACGCATATTTCACTCTATCTAGCCCCTTGGTGACGTAAATATTTAAGTCAAAAATCATACTTAATGCTCACAAAGTGCTCGACCGAACGTTATCACCGTTTATTCGTTGCTATCAAGGGGTTTTTCATGCGGCTCAGAAGGCATTTGATTTCGTTTATTTCTATTTCCTCCAAAGTGTTTTGACACTCATTCCGTATGACATTTTTCTGATATAGGATGACTCAAGCTGTATTATATCCACCCATTCTCCATAATTAACTTACTTTTGCAATAATTACATATTAGTTTGCAGTTATGGTGTCAAAACAAGAAATATCTTCGCCACTTGATTAACAGCACTCAAGGGATAATCTTGGCTAAGCCTGCTTTGTTGTGCTGGGTGACGATCTTACTACGGTTGTGAGTTATGGCAGTAATAGCGCTTGTCTTGAATCTGTGGCTCCCCAAACCTGTTGTTCATAATCCATTACATCCGTCTCTTCTTTCCTTCAAGATTTGTCTGCTGTGAGCACAAAATTAGTAAGAACATTAGGATGCCCAGTAATTTTATCTTACTTCACACTACAGAAGACACACACAGTCTGGCTCAGGAAGATAAACCTGCCCTTTAGTCGGGTAACGGGGCTGAAAGTCTGACATGAATAATTATTAAACAGGTTTTCGAGTGGCTTTATTGCATATCTCCACTGATTGTAGCGTTGGTGTCCGTTGCTACGTTGGCTTAGTAACATGTTATGTTTTTATATGCTTTTTAAATGAAATTTTGCATTAAAACACTTTTCTGACGCATTTAATATCTGCGGCTTAATGTACTCTAATTACGTTACATTTGCTGGCCTTGCATGCGAAAATGTCTCTCGATACTGATATCTGCGCTGTGTAGTGGACGAAAATGGCAGTAAGTTCAAAATGTAAGAGTATATTCTTGAATTTTCACGAAAACATACTGGTATAGTTGGTCTATTAGATGAAACACTGTTGTCTTAATTGGCTTATTAATTGTTAGCATTCTCGGTTTAATTTCAGGATTAGTTTCTGTTTTTATATTCTTTGCGCAGCCTACTTTCCCTTTTAAAACGCAAGGCATCAACACTATGAACACAATGTGTACCTTTGTGGTGAACTTGTATTTCAAACGGCCTTTATTTTGGGCAGTGATGTAAATGCCGTAAGATTCCGATTTCATAAACTTAGCCTCATATGTGAAACCAGGTTATTACTTTAGTCTGAATAAGGACAAGTTGTTCGGAAGGCATGGAAGACCATAATTCGCAGTTTATTTGTATAAATGCTATTGCATATCGAGTTGCACTGGGCATTTACATAAAGTAAAAGGTTACGAATGCTTTGCTTCTCTTTTCAGAGTAAGAAATTTAACAGCATACAGGAATTACTTAACAAGATTCCTTCCATTAAGTTCAGTAATGAAGAATAGAAGTTCTTCCACCTCAGTGTTATTTAAGTGAAGATGTAATCTATTTGGGCGTCTTTGGTGATAAATTCGGCATGGAGAACTCTTCTCGAAACCAAAAGTGCTTGTACTTTACTAAATCTTACTCACTTCCCGTATAAATTTGTTCTTTGTCAAGTATTCATTTAACAACTGCTGGAGTTTTCAATAAAGTAAAAGTTGTAGTTAATATTGGTGGCCTGATTAAATCTTGGGCTACCAAAATTTCCATCCTATATATTGCATCTATTTCCTCGGATTTATTTTAATCATTCAATTATGTGTCATAATCGTATTGTTTACTCTCGCGGTTATTTAAAACGTTTCCAACCGGCTGATTTACTAGTTTCTAACAAACTTTAAAAAAGCCTCATGGTGGATGGCAACGAGCTTTAAAGCGTACTCCGATGCATTTGATGACTGTTCCTGTGATTATGAGCACAAATTGCAGATCTCTACCAAACAAGATTAATTATTTGCATTCTCTATTATACTCAAATGTATACTGTAACACTGCTGTAATTACTCTTCAAGAAACTTGGCTGCACGATTCATATGACGATAATTTGGTCTCTTTACCTGATTCTACAATGTACAGACAAGACCGATGTAGCTCAAAGAAGAAGAGAGGTGGAGGTGTGGCCACTTTTATTAATTCTCAGTGGTCTACTGCCAACAACGTCTGCTTCAAATTCTCAAATGACAATATTGATTGTATAACTATTAAATGCCGACCTAAACACTTATCTAAGTATAGCTGCATTTTTGTCACAAATATCTATGTCACACCTTCTTGCAGTCCCTCAGAACTATCGATCTTTGCCGACGAATTCACTATTTTTGCTGCTGCTTCGTTTGGTAACTC